ACTTGATATTGTTAACACAATTCTCCAAAATATGGACAACGGTAAATTTTCGTGCGGTGTTTTCATCGATCTCAAGAAGGCTTTTGATACTGTTAACCATGAGATTTTGTTAGCTAAACTTGAAAATTATGGTATTAGAGGTGTAATCAACTCCTGGTTCAGATCATACCTGACTGATCAGAAGCAAACTACGAAAGTTAATAATGTTGTATCTGAGGCTGAGACGACCTTGTGCGGCGTGCCACAAGGCTCAGTCCTCGGACCACTCTTATTCCTACTGTACATCAATGATATTTACAAGTCCTCTTGCAAATGACAACATAAAGGAACTCGAAACACTTGTTAATCGTGAGCTTGGCAATGTCAACGAATGGCTAAAGGCCAACAAACTGTCTTTGAACATAAAAAAATCAAATTTTGTAATCTTTCGTCCCCGGCAAAAGAATATGCCCTTCAAACCTAGGATTAAAATTCTTGACTCTGTGACTAACACCTACGCAAACCCATAAATGAAAGATTATGTAAAATATCTTGGCTTGATGATTGATTCAAATCTTTCATTGAAATACCACATGGAATCTATCTGTCACAAAATCAGCAAGTCGATAGGATTTATAGCTAAGATTCGCTATTATGTCCCGCGTCGTGTTTTACTTTCAGTTTACAACTCATTAATTGTCCCTTACTTGACTTATGGTATTTGTGGTTGGGGAAACTGTGTCTCGACATTTCAAAGAAAGATCGTAACTCTTTAAAAACGGGCCTTACGTCAGATTTAAGTAAGTCTAAGGAACACGCCGTACCCTTCTTTCTCAAATCAAATTGCCTTCCCCTGCCTAGCCTGTTTTTCAGAGACTGTAGCTATTTATTGTATGATATCAGCAGACAGACAGCACCAGTTAGTATACTCAATCAGTTCATTAAAACAAGTCAGATTCATAACTACAGAACAAGATCTGTCTCTAGCGACTCGTTTTATGTTAAGTTCTCTAGAACCGATAAAATGTATGCCTTTTTCGCGAGAATCGGTGCCCAAATTTGGAACTCTATTCCTTATTTGATTAAAATACTTAGACGTTCGTCCTTTCGTAAAAAAATAAAGGAATTATTACTAAATTTCTTGCGGTCAGACGATGATCATGTCGAAGTCTCCCGTCTTATTAAGTTATTTAATAGTTTAGGTTAGCCTGTCGTCGTAATCTTTATGTTCTTGCCTTGTTTTATGTTAGTTTAAATTCTATTTACTGTATAGTAGTGTCTTCACTGTTATTTAGTCCATCTATATATAAATCTTGTTTTGCAATATGTCTTCAGCTCCCCCCGCCTCGATTAGTTTATAAGCTATTTGCGGGTGGGAAAGTAATGTTATTAGTTATTTTCTAATTTTAAATAAAATTTGTTGTTGTTGTTGTTATTTTGATAATCTCCTTAATTTCTACAGACGCTGTTTGTAGCATGTGTTACGAGGGAGGGGGGGGGGGGGTACTCTTTATTAAAAGCCCTTTAGGTATGTGCCCCCCAAAAGGGAAAGTTTTTTGCCCCGTTTGGGTAAGGGCGAAAGAGAACACGCCCGAACCCCAATAACACAAAGATCTGGTATGCCGTCTCCGCCTTAAAAAAAAAAAACGCGGCTATAAAGAAGTTTGTAACTTAGTTTATTTTATTCTCACGGTAATGTATTTTCGTTTTCTTTTTAACATATGATTGTAAAGCGCTATTGATCAGCAAATGTAAATACGCGCTATATAAATTGGTAAATTATTATTATTATTATTAAAGTTCTGTAAGCTTAGATCAAACCTGATACTCGGTCAGATCATTGTCTCAAATCTTACCAACGTGAATAAACTAATGATAAATAGCCGCATAAACTACGCTCGACTTCATTAAATTAGATATGAAAACAAACATCAAAGACAATAATTACTCAGCCTTACCATTCGAGCATGCAGCCCCTGAAAGTTATCAAGTAAGGCCAGAATCTCTTCAGAATTTTCAACCCTCTTACGCATCGAGCAGGATAAAACGCAAACGATGCCATCTCCGACTTCGACAAGCGACGTATTTCTCAACCAAAAACCCAATAAACAAACTAGCCATGAATAACAGAAGACCCTTGATAGCAGCTGAATTTCATTTTGTACATCAAGTGGAAAAAGACAGTTCAAAACACCACAAGTTGATACAAAACTCTGTGAGCTTCAGCTGTCAAAGCAAACAAGTTTCAAGATGCTGCATAAATTATCCGCATGAACTCACCTGTCAAATTTTGACCAATAATAAGAACATAAAAATTAGACGAAGAGCGTGACCAACAGCTGGCTGAATAATAATAGCTGGCTGAATTTTCGCGTCCGAGGTCAGTTTGAAATCAAAATTTTAGTAGTGCGGCACATAAACACAGCATATTTCATATGAATTTTAGAAAAATTAAACTTGAGCCTGCGATCATTTGAAAACTAGTAACTTAACAGCGGATAACTTCAAAAAATACTCGACC